CCAAATATCTGGTTCGTATAGTAGCACTGACTTCACATTAGAGTTGAAAATCCGCATCTTATTTTTTTTTACTGAGTGCTGCTGACATCCACACAGACTTGAGAGAAATGAAATCTTGCCTTGCTTTCCCGATCCTCGCTTTGATATCCTCATTACTTCCGTCCACCTGCAGTTGAAACGACGCTTCCCAGAAAGGTAGGTGAAGGAAGTTGTTTCTTTCAGATTTCTACCATTTATGCTGGCTGATTGTTGTCTGTAGTTGTTGCTGTTGGCCAGGAATCTTCACCACCTCTGTTTTCCCTATGTTCATCTGAAGGAAGTACTATCTTTGATGCTTCTCCTGCCAACTTGTTGCTTTTCACTTGTATATCTTCCAGTTTGTGGGAAATCAGACATATATCATCGGCGAAGTCCAGATCCTCCAAGTTTCTTGTGTGGGTCCATTTTATGTCTGTTTCCTCGCTGCCCGCTGTCTGTAGCACTATCCAGTCTACCGCAATCAGGAAAATCATTGGAGATAGTAGGCAGCCAGCCTGTCTTACTCCCATCTTCACTTCGAAGGATTCCGTGAGTTTCCCGTTGTGGTTTATTTGGTACGCAGCATCCGACACATAACAGTCGTAGTAATTCTGTTCTACTAGAAATCTTTTCATGTACCGTTACAATTCATCTACAAGGCAGTTCTCACGCTGTGTTTATGTATTTCATCAAGAAAGAGTTTTAGATTATGAAAACCTTTCTTGTTAATTAAAATGAGATGTACTCGAAAAAGTATGTTCACTCGATTGAATATAAATTTAGAGAATAAAGAGAATCTAATACTGGGAAAGTGATTTTTATGTATCAGGCATCTTCTACTTATATGCGAACTATTTTATGTTAAAAGCATTATAGACAGCCTACATTTGTTTACTTACGACCTCATCTTATACAGGTATACAATATCACACGAAAATTAAATACAAACTTTTTAATCTGTTATCTACACACTAAGTAGTGAAATGGCTAAGAAGAAATGTTTTACCCCAAAAACTGACAGTATGAATTATTTTTAAACACAAGTTTCCACGCAGTCTGCATGTTTCAAGATGGAAACTTCCCAACTAATACAAATCCCAGGGAAATAGACTGAGATGTAATTTTTCCCTTCCATTGAAATCCAAGTGGGATATGGAGTTTCAGGCTTTAGCTTAGAAGTTTTAGTAGCAGTGGTGTTTATTTTTTAATGGTGTGGGATTGCAAGTTTCAAGCCTGGCATTCGACCCTTACCGGCTAAGCGAAGTTAGGGAGTACACCGAACCCTGGACCACATAAGTGATTGGTAAGTATTCTAAAACTGAACCACCGAAACACAGATTGATGTAAGCAACAATTAGAGAAAGTTTTGAAGAGTGTTCATATTAGACTGTATTATATGGGTGTGGAAAAGAATCTCATCCTAACTAACCCACCTCGTCAATTAGTAACCAGTTTATCTCTTTTAATTCAGAACAATTAAGATTGACAAGAGAAAGGTTAGCTGGGCAGCTAGTATGGTGATAAACGGATAGTTGAATGGCATTCATTCACATGATAGTTAGACATTGTTAACGATGACTGCAGTGAAGTGATGATAACTCATTTGGAAGAGTGTGGGATCAGTTTGTTTGAATCCTGTTGCAAGTCAGACTTCCATTCCTCCTTCAACCATCATCCTTTACATCCATAGCAGTTTGCTGACTCAAGGAGATCATCGCAGATAGTCTCACTATAAATTATTAAGGGACCAGTGATTGATACTACCTAAGGTCTCAACACTACTATCCTTTGAGTCACTATAATTTTTAAACAATCCATTGTTTATTGCATGACTTAAGTTGGTAATATCAAGACATATTGCTATACAATACATTAAACTACTCAGTTGCATTAGACGAACGTATAAACCATTTCATTTGTTTATCTAATATTGAACAGAATAACGAACATCCGAATGAACCTATCTTTCTAAAGGGAGACGTGGAGCCAGGTGAAAAAGTTGGTGGAGAACCGAACGAAAGGGAGATGTCCGACTGAAGCCCTATGTTCCTCTAGGAATAAATAAATAAATAATAAATTCTAAAGGGATATTTCCATCATTCAAATTGATTTACACGTGTAACTATACCATAGATACAGTCAAAGCAATGCGAATAGATTGGTCAGTATTACAATACACAGCTGAATTTATTCAAAATAGAGAGACATCTAATTAAGAGGATACTTGCCTGAATAATTCTCAACATCTGTTGAATTCTAAGTTATACATGCCTATTGACTACACATAATGATTACTTACTGTAGTTTAAAACTGTGAAAATGTGTGATTGCACTTCAAAATTGGTTAGATGTAAGTTCACGACATACACACACAGACACCCACCCACACACGATGTGGTTAATTTGATGAACATAATGAAGTTAACTGGTTAATGTGAAAGATAGAAACGAATGAACTCCCATCAAAGTCATTGATACAATGAATAAATCATAATTATTGTAGACACAATTCTTTATTATTGTTGTAAGTGAGAGGTGTACAAGATATTGATTGAAGGATATAAAAAAAAACAACCCGTAACTGAATCATTCCCATCTTCACTAGTAATAATAACAACAATATTTCGAATATTTTCTTCTGATTTCCACCAGGGGGAAATGAAAGATAGTCAGAAAGAAGAGTAACAACAATAAGTAAACGAGATAAGTCAGGAAAAACAGATAGATTGTTAGCCAATACATCATATATCAGTGATGTGAAAGTAAATTTCAAATATACTGAAACATAAATTCAAGGCTTAATTATGTTTATTAAGGGGAGAGAGACGAAGAAATCCTATGGATGCTACTTCACACAAATTCCCTGTTAGATTGAAATGTAAGCTTGTAAAGCAATACATTAATAAATCCTTAGTCCGACATCTCGAAGCCTGGTGTGATTTAAGTTTCCTTAGGAATCCAGTCAATCTTTTTTGCATACTGAGAACAATTTGTCAATGTAGGCTGCTTTCACATAGTTATCCCAAAAGAAATAATATGATAATATTCGATCCGTGAAGAGTAACAGAGGGCTATCAAGGCGACAAAATTGGTATAGTACAATTACTTATGATATGAACTGTTAATCTCAGTATTGGTGGTATGGATACAGTTAGTTAGTGACACTTAGTGATAAGTGACGATAATAGCTAAATTTTCTTTTCGAAAATGTTGCTAATAAATAAATACATGTGTATTCAAGTGTTGGTTTGTAGGGATTTGATTGTTTACAGGATTTTCATCATGAGCTGACATTAGTTAGAGAACCATTAGAAAACCTGGGAGTACTGGACAGCTGTTTCGTCCCAGTTTGGGACTCTTCACAGTACGCACCCACCGGGATTCAGTCGAATGTATAAGTGTAAGATAGATGAAGCAACACTTCAAAGACGCATAATTTTCTTCATGTGTACTTTGATGTACATGTAGGTAGTCTCAGAATAAGATTATGCATTGTATGCATATAACAGGTATTGTTTTCCGCAATGACGATTAACTCGGAATATAAACTTGATACAACAACAAGGAAACATAGGAATATTGATGGTTTACGTCATATATAATTCATAAAAGCTTTGAATAAATTAAGCTCTCAGCATGCATATTTATATTTTTACGCACACATATACGAGGGTTCACTTACAATCTGGAGAATATGACGTAAACGGAACGTCTAATAATATAATACATCTTCACATAACAGATTAAATAATCAGGTGACAAATTTTAGTGAAACACACTTCGTCAGTGAAGGATAAAATGCAACGATACAACACACAATTAGTATAATTCCCCTTTGGTTCCGAGCGAAATATATGCAACTTCAGCAGCATATCTGCATTCCACTCTGTTTTCTGAAGTCCTTTTTAGCTAGCTCTACAATCGTCTGTAAGCAGCTCGCATTTCCTTTTCACCTTCAAATGTTCAGCTCGTCGTTACCCATTCATGTTCCACTCGATGGCTTGGTGCATAGTGTCACCCAAAGGTCTCCTCAGTGTGTGTGTGTGTGTTATGCATTTCATTTTTCTTCTGCATATTTGTTGATCGGTAGGTTCTTCATGCCAAAACATGGCCTCATCAGTCAATGAAATCCATAACAGTTAGTTTAAGCCACCTAGGATGGTGCAGACTTCCTGACTGGTTGGGGTCCTCGGGATGGTAAACACCAACGAAGGCTGGAGACAATTAGTGATATAGTTCAAAATCGATCTCAACGGCGCAGATGCATCCACTCCTTTTGACTTATAATATCCAGTAAAACTCTTTTGTTCTTCCATATTACTATTCTTTTTGCCGCATATCTCTGTTTTGAATCTCTTTTTACTTTCTTCTCTTGCTTTGTGTATTAAGTGAAGTGTGGCGACTCAAACTGCTTCACATCGTTAAAACCAGTCAGTCAGTCATTAGTTCGTTGACAGAGTTCCTTTTCTTGCTAATTCTCTTGAACCATCTCATCTTCAATATGGAGTGGAGGGCATCTGATGGCAGAAGTCGGCAATAGCCTGTTGGAAATGCATTTTATGTGACACGTCAAGTCTGTGAACCATAGAGAAGCACTGATCTGACATGAGTGCAGTAGAAAGCGACACCTTAAGTGTGATAAAATTCCCCTAGTAACAGATGAGAATTAAAATAGTCATCTTTAGATAATAAATTATGTTCGGAGAAAAAGATGAGCAAACAAGGTGACTTGGTTTGCTGTAAATCTTGATTGATTTTTACCGAATATTTATCTACTCTACACATTATCTATCTATGCAGTATTAGATATAACAGATGAGTGAAGTAATCACCCCCCGGTAAACATTGAATGAAAAGACGTGAGATTTTTTATGGATTTATAGAAAGAACAAAAAGAAAATCACAATTTTTCTTCGAATGAAAAATTAATTTTTAAAATAATAAATTATTTAAAAAATAATATATTATATATCAAAAAAAAAAACAAACAACAAAAGTTACAAATTAGGAGAAAAGAAGACACCACTTTCTGCATACATTACACGTGTGTTTAAGATATGTATGTATGGGTGTATATATGTACAAAAGCTAATTAAAATCACAGTGATGACCAATGTTTTCATTATCACGCATAATTGAGCATTATACTATTTATTTATTATTCGATTAGTATCAGATCTTTGATTGCTGAATGATAAATACATATTGAAAAGTGATATCAAAAGGAACACATGTATATATATGAGAAGAGAAATTAAGAGGAATTAAAATAGGTAGTAGACACCTAATGTCGTTCTAGGAGCACCCAGAACAGGGGCAGCAGCAGTAATCAGTCAGTACAGACGATTTCGATGTAGACCTACGACCTACCTATATATATATATATATATGTATATATATATATATAAGTAGGATAAGTACCCTGATCAAGAAAAAGAGTTTAATCAACTCTCCGATGGCTTGATTAATAATCTAATTATAACAATAATCATAATAATGATCAAGCTTAGAGAGGATGACTGACGATATAAAAGCAACAAACAAACAAGGAGATCACCACAAAATTGATTGATAATCAATACCGAAAAAAAAAAACAAGAGAGGATGAAATCGATTTTCCACAATCACATTTGTTATTGGTTGCGAAAGAAAGAATAATGTAAAAACACAGAAGAGAAAAAAACAGAAGAATAACCGGATTCTACTTTGATTGTCTTTCCATCAATTAGGCTTAACAACTCTCTTTGTCTCTCACCCTCTCTCTCTCCACCTCATGATATGCATGATGAATAAGTGTCGGTTTAGTTTAAGAAGAAAAAAAACAACCCTAGGCACAACCTGATTTGAACGCATATACAAGAAAGATATGTATGTGAACACGGATAGATAGAAAGATATAATGAACAAAATAGAAAAAAAGAAACTTCTATGAAAAAAGGTGCTGAAAAAATAAATCAACAACACGGTGAGACAGAGGAGACAGTGTGAGAATATTTCACTTCTTTATCTTCTTCTACGTCTGAATTGGTTGGTTGGTTGGTCGGTTAGTTAGATGGTTAACTGATCGATTGACTGTGACTTTCATCATTCATCTTCTAGGCACAACTGTAGCCACAATAATGATAATAATAATGGCTACAACACCACAACACACTCCAATAATAATGAATTTTTTCTATTTATCATTGTATAAAAATTATATTGATAAAGAGATAATGATAATGAAACAATTAAATAGAATTTATATACAATTGATGAGACATTTTGCCCATAAATAAAAATGATAATGATGATGATGGTGGTGTGTTTAATGAAGATAGATGACGACCGCCACACGTCGAAGATGATTGTGATGATGAAATTGATAATGAGGATGACGGCACACAGATACACACACACACGCAGAAAGTAAATAAAAACATTAATTAAATTAGTTATTAATATATACAAACTCAACAAAAAACAGAACAAAACAAAACAAAAAACAACACAACACAACAACATATGAAAACATACACGGAAAACACAATGAGTTAATCGAACAGGGGTTAAGTTAACTGAAAAACCCAAAACCAAGAAAAAAGGAGAAAAACCTCCAAGTGTATTATAAATTAACACTATTTTTGAACCGATGAATGACTGGATAGATGACGTATAGATCCTAGTAGCAGTGAAGTTTGTGGAATCTGTTCACCTAAAGTTTATCTATCTAGTTAACTATACAGAGATTGAAGGTTCAATATTTTTCTGTTAACTGTGAGATCATTTTACGTCAGATTACAGAAACAAAAGTTGAGACCAATAATTTATTTATTTATTTCATTAGGAATTTCCAAGGTGATCAAAAAGCCAACTACAAACGAATGTTCAGACTACGTGAGAAAAAGCTTATATAATTCATGAAAATGTATCAGTTATTCACAATTGATGTCTATTGGTTGATGGTGACTAGCAGAACACTTTGTTCTACTTGAGACTCTTCAGATGGGTATGATGGTGTTCCCCCACTAAGACTTGAACCCTGCAGTTATTGTTTCAAACTCCAAGGCATTATCCACTAGACCACCAGGGTGTTTGAAAGGATGAATACAGAACTCGAGTCTCAGTGGGAACACCACCACCATTCACTGGGGAATGCAGATACATCCAGTCTGGATTCCACTGCTAGTCACCATCAAGCAAAATAACATGACGTTAGAACCCAGACTACGGGGTAGATGACATGTCAACAGAGACCGAGATATTTCTGTCCAACAAAATCAATCAAATCAACAGAAATTAACCTATATACAAAATATTTACAAGTGAATTGAAAAAATATAACTCTTGAATAGGGGAACATTAAGAAAGCCCAGAGAATTCTTAGAAGCCCGTTTGTTACTTGGATGAGTCGGCAATCTCCCTCTCACTCTCTCTCTCTCTCTCTCTCTCTCTATATATATATATATATATATATATATATATATAATATTATATTGTATTTCACCATGAAAGGTCAAGGTCTTCAGCCAGTGACTCATACTTCCATGACATACGAGAGAGGGAGAGAATATCGAGAAATGGGCATACTATAAAACCAGCATTTGTATAATGTTCTAAAGGCAGTTTTAAAAAAAATCAATCGAGTAAAATACCAAAACTTTTACTGAACATTTTAGTCTGCAGAGTTTTAATCATAAAGGGAAAGAAATGTGTTATTGAATATCTAAACATTGTAAAGTAACACAACATGAAGATTTTCAGGAAAGGCGAAAAAGGCGTACATTCTGTTATAGAGAATTCAAGATACTCCTACAATTCTGCACCTTTTCGCATTTACACGCACACAAACCAAAAAAATCACTTCGATCAGCTCTATGTCAACCAAAAGACTCAACAGTCAGCTAGGCGTATCTGTAACTTTGAAGGAACTCATGTCACTTCTGAGATTCGAAGCCGCGTCACCCAGTGCTGCAGTCAGAGACGTTACCACTGAGCTATTTGGGCTCGCGATTGACCTCCTGAGCCAAGTAGCACGAAACCCAAGTGGAAGGCTTCCTACCGATTGTCTCCAACCATCTAATATCATTAAATCAATGTGCACCGTGATGGCGAGCTACCTAGCATGGTGCCACATTGCAAACCTGACTGGTAGAATTCAGTCTGCACCAAACAAAGGACTAGGCACGCCACACTAGTTACTAGTGTCCAATCAAAATATAACAAACTGTCAAAGTACACACACACTTACACAAACCTGAGAATGCTATGTTGAAACTATAGTGGCGTACTTTATAAGTTCGGAATGTTGAAGAATCCCAAACTAGGCTGCTTTCTGGATTTTAATAATTCTCTAACTAATTTCGGCTACTGAAATTATTGATTTGATAATATGGGTAAAAATGAATAACTTTGATGGATTATGATCTTTAAACGATAGAAGTAGGCAATAAGAAAACGCAGAACTCTGATATATTCTTTTCTCTAGCATAGTTTATCAAACACTTATGTTCTATAGTTGGTTTGTAAGGATTAGTTTTGTTTTTTTACGAATTGATCACGGATCGATATCAGTTAGAGAACCATTGAAAACCAGCAAGGAGCACTGGACAGCTGTTTCATCCTAGTTTGGGAATCATCGGCAATACACACACTGGGGTCCGAACCAAGGACCTTCCGGTTACAAGGCAAGCTAGCTCGTATACCATTCAGCCACTGGTATCAATCCGTGATCAACTCGTAAAAACAAATCTAATCCTTACAAACCAACTCTTGAAAATTAATCTGATGCTCGCTAGTGACTTGTTACAGGATGAAGTTTCCTGGAGTTCTAGTGAGAAGTCGTGTCCAGGGAGATCCATCCAGTCAAGTGTGAGGATGGATGTCCCACCGATGACATTGGTTGGGGTAGCACTAAATCACAAATTGGTAGAAGTTAGAATTCATGAGCCATTGAATCGGGTCCCAGTGCCTGAATAGTATACGAGTTTGCCTTGTAACCGGAAGGTCCTGGGTTCGAACCCTGGTGGTGGATGCGTACTGCCGATGACTCCCAAACTAGGATGATAACCGTTCAAAACTCCCTGGTTTTCATTGTTTCTCTAACTGATATCAATCCATGATCAACTCGTAAAAACAAAACACTAATGCCTTTATAACAGTGTATTAAAGTGTTGTTTGGTGGATAGTGGCTAACAGTGGAATCTAGGAACCACATTTCATCTTAGTTGAGACTCATCAACAGTAGAAATCAAGTCTCTCGCTCCAATAGAAAGAAATCAATAAACAGCAAATTAAAGAAAATAATATCAATAAATAATGTATTAAGAGAAGACGGAAAACATTCTGAACAACGTAAACACACGGATATATATATATATATATGAGACGGGATGCATAAAAATGATAAACATAGTGCTGAAAATCACATGGTAATGAGATAATATACACAGTCTCTTGAGTCGATGGACACAATGAAACAGCTAATATATAAATATGTAAATATATATACATAAAAGAAACGAGAAACACAAAGAAATAACTAAACAAGAATTGACACATACAACAACAATGAATCAGTTACAGTGATCAGAAAAACTGTAGAGGATTGAAAAAATGTATATAATTATATGCATATACAAAATGTATATGTTTGCAAATTACACGTAGTAGGCTGTTTATGCATACTACTACTAACCATATTAGCTAATAATATTTAAAAGAATATTTGAGTGAGATAAGTGATGATTAAAGATGGAATGAAAATCTGGACTGTCTTAGAATCGGCATCAACAGCTTTCATTAGATTACTAGCCCAGGGAAGTTGTAGTTCAGGAGGTAGAGCACCAAGGCTAGTAATCCGGAAGCTACTGGTTCGAATCCTAAGGCGATACAGATCTTCATTTCATCTTCAATCATTACTTACTGTTAAGTAATACTTAAGAAAACGATTTGACCAAGAAAATTATTCAAAAATGAATATCTACACTATATGACAATACACTTATTTTAGATTTTGATTAATCCCAGAAGCAATAGCAATTGGAGAACCATTGAAAATCAAGGAGTAGTGGATAGTAGTTGCAGTCTACCTTGGGACTCTTTAGAATTGCGTAGGCACAATCGAAAAGGGGATCGAAACCAGGACCGTCATTTTACGAGGCCAGCTTGTTGACCATTCAGCTATTGTTAGAGCTGACTTTCATAATTTCGCTCCACCACTAACCAATGTCATCACCCTGACATGGAGTACCTCACTCATAACGACTGATAGATGTGACTGGCTGTCAGCTGAGGTATATATTACAATTGATAGCTTGGGCATTACATTCCGTTCCAGTAGCTGTATGGTCAACAGGCGTACCCCGTAAGAAGCTCCTGTGTTCAATCCCCGGTGGGATCATGGGTATATATTGATGAAGAATTCCAAACTGGGACAAAAAAGCCGTCTAGTTTTCTGAGATACTCAATGCTTCTCTAACTGATGCCATTTCGGGATCGAACTATAAACCAGTCAAACCACTTACATGCAGATAATGTGATGGAGTATGGACTGCAAAATAAAAAAAGAGCGATAACTTACCTTTCGAGATTTTTTCTTATACACGACTGCTTTTTTAGTTTCTTGTCGTGCTTCTGCAACATAATCTTGTGTTTGTTTTACATTGACATCGATTCGATCAATCAGTTCGCCCTGTATATATAGTGTAAAATAATCACAGTAATAACAATGTTTTAAATAACTGGATATACTAGTATACTAGTTAAACTATGAGAATTGGTCACCAAATAGTCATTACTGGGTATACATACATCAATGATGAATCAAAAACTCCTGGCCAAATGGATAGCGCTTTAACATTTGAGGAGATAGTTACTGGGTCCCATTATCACTGGGAACACTATCATTTACGAGGAGCTAGTACATCCAGATAATGAGTCCTACACAGGATGAATTGCGCGTCCTGCGTTCTACTGCTGGTCAACACCAAACAAGGAATTTCGGGTAACTGTCCAGTTCTGCGTGTATATTGATGTAACACTACATTGATCAAGGTGGGTCTGCGACCATTAAACTGACTAACATGAACTTTCACACCTTCATATGATATTATATGTAAGAAAATGTCCATCAATTGATAGAGTGCTACCCATCTGAATCTCCCACTAGATAACAATCATTAGTGTGATCCAATTAAAACAAAAATAAATAGCTCAGTGACATTATCTCTAATTGAAACACTCAGTAGTGATGAAGAACAGAATCTCCAAGGGGAAATATTCCTTATTGACAAAGACCAGTAAAAAAACCAAAACTTAGAATAGATAGAACTTACTACCAGTTACCATCAAACATCAAATCCAAGTGCACCGTAGTGATGATTTACCTAACTTGGTAACCATCTGGGCACCAATTACTCTCTGTTAAGGGGACTGGACCCTATGACAGAGCTTAAACGCTGGTGACTAAACAATGCAAATGAAATAATTGTATAATCAGAAGAAGTGAGAATCAGTAAACACACCTGTGTTTCAACTAAGGAAGCCATGTCTAAAAATAGTTCATGTAACTCTCGGATACTCTTCTCCAAATTAATAATATCCATATGACGTGCTTGAATGTCTGCGAGATTTTGGCGTGCTTGTTGAGTATCTGTTAAGATCTAAAATAGAATATGGGATGGAAAAAAAGGAGAAATAATTATCTAAAAAGAACAAAAGTAAAAGCAAAATAGTAACATAAGCTGTTAAATTACGGTTAAATATAGGCGTGATAATTACTTGGATAACAGGGTGGAGTAGTCATTAGTTTTTGGAGGACAAAAACACACGTGTTGGTGGCTAAATGATAGAATGCTCGCCAACTACGTGCGAGGTTTGGGTTCAATTCCCGGCTGACACAATCATACAACCCTCTTAGTCTACTAGCCGACAGTAAGCCCAGAAAAGACGGCGGGGAAGTGAAGCTGACATTTTTATCTCAGAAAAACGACACCATGACTACTGAAACGTCAAAAGCTTGAGAACTTATGTTCCACTCAGAATGCAAGGATTAAAGAAGGAGGACAAACAGGAAATGACTTTATTAATAATAATAATAATAACAACCCTATTTTTTTTATCTCAGACAATTAGAAGTAGTGAAATTGGCGCCGAAGATGTTGTTTAGAAGAACAGTGAAAACAAGGATTAGGATATAAATATAACCAGCTGAGATAATACACACCAATTTTAAATAATAATAATTAGCAATCACTCCCTGGAAAGCAAGTATACCAGACCATAAGCCGCAAATTAGCGTTAGCGTAAGTCGCCGCACACAAAGTTCAACTTCTACTTCGATTACTCATAACAGTGAAATATTGCCACGCATTTCTCTTTTTCTCTGTCACTAATACACTATGCAGATTCAGAAAAGTAGGAGGTCCCACACTTAACTATTCCCTGATGATATATACAACGAAAATGATAACTGAATACTGAGGTAAATGTACTTGCTAGGAGAGCGGCCATTTAGCATTAAGGGTATTCATCCACAAAATGCTTAATATTAACTAGTGTATGAAGTGACTAAGTTGTTTCTGGATATCAAACAATTTGAAAATAGTAATAATTCAAAAGTTGGGTCATTGGAGATTTGATGAAGTAGATTTTATCACAAACCGACTATGAGTTAGTGTTAGGACAAAAAGAGAGAGATATATTACGACTCAGTATTTCACATGTGATCTGTAAAACCAGACAATTGACCGTAACCCCGGTTCAGTCAAAACAGTTTTCACATATGTTGAACTTGTAATTTATTAGACACGCAAAGTAAGCATATAATTAGCTGCAATTTCTGGTCTTATTGTCTTTCCTTTGGAGTAATATTTCCTTATCTCCTCAGTCAGTCTTCTGCATCTTCTCAGTAGTACAAGAATGGTAATCACACCATGAGTTGTATATTATCGAAAGTTGAAGTAAACGTAGAACGAACGCAAATCCAGTATTATTTTGGATACAATAGTTAGAAAACCGTTGAATTACTAGAAACAAAACTTTCAGGTTACAGGAATTCAGTCTTAGTGGGGTTTGTCATTGCACACTGCTGAGAAGTTTCAAGGAATGAATAAAGCATCTGTCTAGTGTCTTATAGTTGTTATCAACTGTCCTATACCTGATATTGACGCATGATGACAAAACCTACCACCTTGGAGGGAATAATTAGAAGAACAAACAAGCACTATCCTTTAGCATAAAAATCTACGCCGAGGAAACTCCTGAAGGACTAGACGGAGGACGAAACGTATTCATTCCAAATGCGTATTATTCAAACAAATAAGGTAATTATCCGCCAGAAATGCTTTTTACTTCATATATTCATACATAGAGAAACTTACAGACAGAAGTGTTTCGAACAGAAGTTATTCATCAAAAATTCCTAGTTTATAATAATTCCAACAAAAAGTAGACTTTCATAAACACCTGTCTTTGCTCAACAATGAAGATCAGATCGTCAGAAACCATAAGCAACAAGAGAGACTAGCACCCAACCAACCAAGAACTAATTGCCCAACAAATATGCAGAAGGGAATGAAGATGGATTGGACATAAGCTAAGAAGGCAATCAAGTGGCATTATAAGCCAGTCGCTTGAGTGGAACTCGAATAAGAGAGCAACTGATGAGACGTCCGGTGGTGACATGGAGAAAATCATGCGGAGAGGAAACAAAAGCGTGTAGCGAGTGGTGGAGCCGGTTAAAAGCAATGTCAGAAGACCGAGTGCAATGGAGATATATGCGGTTGAAGCCCTATGCTTCACACACTTGGAACGTCAGTAATGCATAGTAATAAGAGTCACATACTATGCTTCCTTCAGTGGAAATACACGGTACTCAACTTTCAGTCTGTGGGTTTTGAGATTGAGGTCTGCTCCACTTTACTTCACACAGTCCAAGACAACTGGGTGCATTATTAGTCATGACACAATAACTGTGGCTCACAGATAGTCTGATCTGGGTAACTGTATTTCGATAACTGTGGTAACCAAAAGATCACTACTGATTTCCAAACACACACACACACACTGAATATGAAACAAAAGTATACAAGACTATGAAACCAAGAGGTTCTTTTCTTGTGGAAGGGATAACGCTGAATGACTGAAAAATATCTAATTGATAAGGTAAGTTAGTAAGTAAGCACTTCTGTATCACAGCTTTATTCATTTAGTATACATTCGTATATACACGTATTTATTTGATTGAGTTTGTTTTTTAACAAATAAGCAGAAATGTTTCATGATTATTATTTTGAGAATTTCTCTTCTCATCACTAATTAATTGTTGAGATGTGAAGAACAGAATTAGAACCAAACACCCTATACGTGCGTGGATGATAATGAAAATTGAAAAAAAAACACAACTAAAAACAAACATTCAGTGGAATAACAAACAATACTAATAATAAAGTGTTGTTTTGTGTATGTGTACAGAGGTAAGGGGCATATATTATTTAAAAATATAACCTACAGAAACACAGAAGAAAAGAATACCAGAGATAGACAGATAGATAACAAAACATTATAATTTGAACACAATAGAGCCAGGGAACAGTAATAATAATAATAATAATCATTTAAACAACGAATAACCATGGCGACGATAACAATATGCAAAGAAGTTTATACAGTAAACGGAGGAGATATTGGATTCTTAAAAAATTAATGAAATATATATTTCTGTTGTAATTACTAATGAGTGTTGCTTACACACCTAACTTAATCGTCTTTTTGTGTTATGCAATTCTTTTTTTTCTTAATCCTTCACGTTCCATAGTGGAACATAGGGCTTCAAGCTAGTGGCTTGAAGTTTCTGTAGCAGTGTTTACTTTTACAGGATGGGGTTGCTAGCCTCATGCCCAACCTTTCCTCTTCACCAGCATTATTTCTGGCTTAGCGAGGTAAAGGAGTGCGTCGGCCGGGGACCGAACCCCGGACCATGTGCATGGTCGGCGAGCGTCCTAACCGCTATGCCACCGACGCACTTATTCACACAGTGATACAGCCATTGACTAGGTATTGGTTTTCAGGTGAACCAAACACACCCATCCCTGCCTCTTGCGAGACGAGAACGGCATGCAGGATCATCCTTTGGCGCAACCACTCGAGAGCCCTCCCCCTCGGTGGACCAGTTATGCAATACAGTGGATAAAAAACCACCTATGAATATAATAACGTGAATAGTACTTCTCGTTTTCCAAGGAATAAAGATGAGGAAGAAAACTGGGTGAAGTCAAGCACCCAGGAAAGATTTTTCATCCATGTATAACAAGGCTAACAACAATACTTATCGTGTAAAGGCTGACTGATACTATCCAGTTGCATAGTTTGGAAAAGATGGAGAGGGGATAAATACGTGGTGCGTTGGCTGAAAACTGAGCTAATTTTCTACATCATCATGAGCATCTATGTACCAGAGTGGGATAAGAACTACTGATCCCGTGAAATCTCACAACAAAACATTTAATTGGTTACAACATTGAAGGTGTTATGTGTAAAACCTGGGCACTGTGGTGGTAAGTAATTCCATATTAGTTTGTTTATTAGATATATCACACAGTCACAGAAACAGTATTATTTACTGGATGACACAGTTTCGAACAAAATTTATTGTTCATAATCATATCAATTATAATCACACAACTTCGAAACTTGAGTTTTATAGTTTTCTTTGTTCTCTCCTATTTGTCGTAGGGGAAGCTTTGTTTATCGAATCAACTGCAAATACATGTAATAGGAATGATTCAACACCTGTCCCAGATATCTGGAAAATTCTACTACCCCTACGACAAATAGGAGAGAACAAAGAAAACTATAAAACTCAAGTTTCAAAGTCGTGTGATTATAATTGATGAAATGATTATGAACAATAAATTTTGTTTGAAACGTCATCCAGTAAATAATACTGTTTCTGTGACTGTGTGATACATCTAATAAACAAACTAATATGGAATTAAAGGTGTTAGTCAAAAAGGAATGAAAGCATCAAGATCTTTGAAAATTTCAAAATTTCACCAACAAGCAACGTCATCATCAGCAACTGTTGTTAGAATTCATTTTGACTCGGAAAAAATTTCTCCCATACCAGGCGTAACAATTCACGTTTATTTTATGAAGGCTGATGATACTACCCAATTGTTTAGAATAAAGTAGGTGGAACAGAGTTCAAGCCCGGCACCTCTACTGGTTGAAAGCCAAGTGCTTAAACCAATGAGAAACATCTCCATACTAGTAAATATTGGATTGGTTCGAGGATTTCATTATGAGCTGACATCGGTTAGAGAACCATTAGAAAACCAATTGGGAGTACTGCCAGACAGCTTTTTCCTTCGTCCTGGTTCGGGAATCATCGGCAGTACGCACCCAACGCCAGGGTTTGAACCCAGGACCTTCTGGTTACAAGGCGAGCTAGCTCGTAGAACCATTAGGCCACTGGCACCCAATTCAACGGCCAGTCCATGAATTCCAACTTCTGCCAATTCATGGTCGCGCTATGTCGTGAATATATATAATAAGAAACGATTAGAATTTTGGCGAAATTCAACTTAAGCATGCATATACATGTACATGTAAAATATACTTACACCTTGAGTAAAAATCTGTGGATTTCCAGACTCGAGCATATCTTCCAATTCTTCATCTGTAACTGATCGTCGAGCTAAGCATTTCATCGGTGAAAAATTTGAAAAAATACAAAAGCATATGAATTAATATTTTATTGGTAATTAGTATTATATGAACAAAGCGTATATCCAAGATATCTGCTTCAATTTTTAGAAAATGTAAATGTTTCATCATCAGACTGGGTGACATCGCTAAAGAGGAGGTGGCCATGATGATCAGTGGAATATGAAGATGTTACTAATAGAACAGAATGCAGAGGGTCTATAGTCTGCCGTGAATATAGTAGTGGAGACCATAGATGACCTACCACCTACCTTTCAAGTAAACATTCGGCTCATTAGCATTAGGTACTTCGCTTTCAGCCAATTTAACTTTTAAATTATGCGAGTAGCAATTCAGAATGATTTAATTACCAAAAAAAAACATTTACGCATGTCTGATAGAATATACGGATTACGCCGATTGTTTTTCAGGTGCAAACTGGGAACGTAAGACACACACAATACAGCATTTATCATTAATGATGTGATTGCTTGTTTCAAGATGGCATACAACAATGTTTTCAGTAGTGGCTGCTACAGTTTAACTTTGCCCACTGTTGAATGAACAAGTTAACTTAAAATCCATCAGATCAGTGTCTCTATTGGTCTTCTTTTTCACCTGAATGCAATGAAACCACAGTCCAACCGTCAAAAGGATTATATTAGTGAGGAAAATACTTATTGATAAGAAATAACAGGTATTCGGTTATTAGGCTGCTTATCAAGGTTGATTTTAAAAAAAACTATTGGTTGATCGACTGAACAACACTAACAGAGTGTATAACTCTTCTATTTTCTTATTGGAAAAAAACTTCTAATTCATTCAAACGGTAATGAGAAAACAAGGCAGTACAGTCAAGCTGTCTGTTTTTGCATCGTAATATACTACACTACAGAAACTGAGAGATTCACTATGAACTATGTATAATATTCATTTATTTATACGTGGGACTATGAGACACATATATTGTGTGAGGAATGTTGACAAAAAGGAGATGAGGAGGGACTCGAACCTGGCACCCACCCAATAAATGAGTCACATTTTCAACAGCTATTATTAATACTTCAATAAATTTTAATGCTTATCTACATATCGCTTTCAATTATCACACTAAAGTGGATTTTTCTCTCCCAAGAATACCATCAAACATCCTTCCAATTATTGATTGGACATGATCAGATTCCAGCGATCTGAAATGCATAATCTAATCAACTTCATTTGTGGTCATAGTTTCTTAGTGTGTTTTTGTTGCTTGTAAGCACCTATGCCTATAACCATACAAATAATCAATGTGAAATTAGGTACAAAAAGTGTTTCATTATACAATTAAATATTTTCTTAAGAAACTAGTGTAATGTTAATCTATTACAGTGTTGTTCAAAGACACGCACACGAAAACACATAAACATAAATATATATGCACAATTAACGAAATTAAATGGTTTTTTTTTTGTTGTTATTGAAGAAAATGGAAAGAAAAATCAAACCACAAAAAGAAAATTATTAATAGCACCAAAGACTATGGATTATCATAAAAAATGTCAACAGAATGATGATATTAGAATGTGATGCTAATTACGTTTACGGAAACAATGATGACATCAATACCAGCACCAACACACACACACACACAAAGGAACTCATGTTTTGAAAGTTAAGCAAAAGCAAAGCAAAGCTAAAGAAAAGGTGAGCAAAAGAAAACTACAAATTAAAAATATTGAACTCAATGTATTTCCAAACTTAATTATCAGAACACAAACCTGGTGCAGTATAGACACTAAGAGACGCACCACAATAAATCTCATAGTTTGCGTGGGGGTTGGGATACTGCCCAGACGCCCAGACCAGAGCGGGGGCTGTCTTCAGGGGTTCGACCCTCAAGCATTTGACTTGAAGTCTGGCCCACTAGACAGTCAAGCAGAGTTAAGAGCTACGTCCAGTTTCCAGTGACCGCACAACAGATTCATACGCCATTCGCTGCTTTCGGATTCTACAGTCTATGTATGACACATAGGCTTGGAATTAGGGTTTTCCAGCCCCCCTAGGTAGACGTGCATGTTCACGAATTCAGTTGTAAGCGCTAGACTTTCGCACTTACCCTTTTACTGTTGTAAGGAAAACCCCTACCGCATCAAGGCGGTGAATAGAACTTACTCAGCAGAAGCCATAAAACTGAATATGGCATAAAATAAACGAAGTATGTCCAAAACGGATGCGTTAACCAACAGGTTGAAGTGGGAAATTCAAAGACAAATAAAAGAATAGATTACTCAATACATACGTGAAATAAGGCAAAGTGTGTAGGGAAGAAACAACGGAAACGCTCAGAGTTCTTTGAATGAAGATCAATAAAGCAACCGATAAGTTCACAAATGAATCAGTCAATCGATTTGATGTGTGCATTAATAATTCAAAAGGTAACAGGAGAGTTTTCAAGAGTGTACTGTCATGTATCACACATACACACACAGAATAAAACACATCAATGTGAGATGTTTCTGTTACATTTTCTATTCAAAATAAATTGAATTTTTTTACAAATAACATTAGATAAATAATGTTGAAAGTGAATGCTGGTGAATACTGCTGAACTTTGGTATAAAGTTTTACACAGAAAATTCAGTTCAGATAATTAAAGTGATCGACCGGGTTCAGTAACGGCATAAAGACACCTGCTGCTGCTGCTGGATTCAACATAGAACTCGGCACCGAAGTGCAGCAGTTCGAGTTGCCACATTCCAAATAGCACACAAAGGTAGACAAGAAAATGAATGAAGAGAATCAATAGAATTTAGATAAGTATAAGAGAGAAACAGAATGAGTAATGGTAGAAAGGAATATGAAAGATTACAGGAACTGAATACATCTGCGCCATTGACAACGATTTTGAGCCATGTCACCTATTGTCTCCAGCCATTGATTCTTAGAGTCTCGAGGGCCCCAACCCGGAAGTCTGCAACTCCCTCCCTACCTGACTCAGTTTAACTGTCAGGGATTTCATGGATTGATGCCATGTTTTTGTTTGGCCACCACTTACTCTTTCCAACCTGCACCAATCAACAATCAGCTAAATTAATTATATACTTTCGGTGTTAAACAGAAACTTTTTTCAAATAGTGCACTGCAGATTACTGACTTAGATATGATAGAGAAGATTTGTAGCTCAGGTGGATGATTTTGATGTGGTTGTATTCTCTGAGCATACTTCAATTTGAAGTGAGCTTTACGATTTCTCCACGAGTCTATTAATCATCTCTTCTGGTGACCTTGGACGTGAATGGTTGTTTTTGTGTGTTTTCACACCTTCTAGGTTACTTGTATTGTCACTCATTGTTTCTTTGACTTGAACTTTGACCCTTTGTGTGTGAGGTTTCTTTCTTATCGGTTGGTAAATTTTGTCTATCTTGATGTGTCTATTGATTGATGATTCCAGTATGCGCTGAAGATGTCGCCTAGTAGGGCGATGAAAGCTTCGCAAATCAACTATCCAGCTCAGAGAACACAACCACATCAAAAAGATTACTGACTTTTAGCTTCATCTGATGAAAATACAGTTATATATCAGGCAGTTTAAGATTTATATAATAGTGAAGAAAACTCTCTGAAGTCATACCTACTGTGAATCAGGTTAAGTCACAGTTTTATAACGGATAATGTGAAATCAAAAGCAGCAATATTTAACAAAATTTTAATTTTGACTGACAGATAGATCATTGCAGAATTTTGCATAGGAATTACACTTCAAAAAAGCAAAGGAGAGAGAGTGTGTGTGTATGTGCAGAAAAAAAAAATAAGAAATAGAGTGAGATTTGCAATGCAAATGATGTCAGGATGGCATAATCATCATTTAACGGAAGATGTTCAGTAACCTACCTGAGGGATGAATACACTGACGCCATTGTGAACTATCTATCATTGATTTTTAACATCCCAAAAAACTTATATCGGTCTACGTAGATCAGACCAATAGTTAATCGATGCATGCATGGATAAGTACCACATATTTTTGGTGTCACAATAACTCTTGATTTTTGAATGGTGATCCAGCATGCGTAACATATGTAAGTCCCAGAAATCTCTCAACCAACGGGATCATATTTAAGATAGTTCATTGATTAACTCTCCTTATCTAACACTCTATATATCTAACCCCATTATTATTAGCCATAATAGTTCCATCTCACTTCAGTAGTCAAACGAAAGCGTTCAATATTCTAACTTTAGTAATTAAAACACTATCCGCGAAAAACAACAACCAGTTTGATGAAACGATAGTTGTTTTCTTCATTCCTTTGAGTTCCGAGTGGAACATAGGAATTTCAACCTTTCTTTATATTTAAAGTTTCATTGGCGGTGGCATTGTTTTTACGAAGTACGGCTGCTAGCCTCACACAACCAACATTCCTGATAGGAATCAGCTAAAAATAGTAATCACATCTTATGACTCACATTATGTGATTCATCACGTGATCGGATGACTAAAGTTTCATCAACCTTTTTCTCACCTTCGTCTTGGTCAGATCACCAGCCAATCAGAATATTTATTTTTCGCCTACCTTAGCTGAATCGCCTATCGATCAACTGGAATAATCTATTTTCACTGCCTTGGGGCGACTTTAGTGTGGTAAAAAATATATATATATAAATATGACGTGTTTTTCCTAATAAAGTCGTATCTTAACAGTCACAGGCAAGTCTTTATCTTTTGATATTTACTTGGCTGGGTGAAGCAGAAGGTACCACGGACGAATAGATGTATCTAGCACATCAGATGAGTTGTTCGTTGCGTCAGTATTATTATACCCACGCACAAGTCTACTCGGTCATACCAACTGTCTACGTGATCATCTCAATTGACGACAGGTTCATAGCAAATTAGCGGAAAGTTCATTCAACTGCGAAGGGGTTATGGAAACCAGTGTCGACATAATACACTTCCATTTATTCCAGGTTTACTATTGATTAGTAAACTAGGCGAGGTTTATTTAAAAGAGCGTCGGCTGGGAATCTAACCCCGACCATGTGGGTGGTTGATGAGCATTCTCTACAACTGAATCATCGATTCACAATTTGATGAAACGATAGTTGATTGAAAAGAAAACAATGGAAGCAATACAAACAGAAAGCTGACACATCGCTTCAACTACACACATTATCATTACTACATGCACACAGAACAACATCAACAACAACAACAAGACTAAAAAAGTACAAAGAAGAAAAACGTAGGTGTATAATACACACACTGGGAAAACAAAGCAAAACAATACAAAATATAAATATATTATATTATATAAGCTCACCAACTTCCAATTGTCGTTTCAATAAGGCTTTACAACGTTCTTTATACTCTATTTGTATTATACCATATTGTTGCATAGTAGTAGCCATACTTTGCGATAAGGAGACAAACTGTGAATGGCACGCACACATAAAGGCAAAAGAAAAGTTCACAAGGGGAAATAACTCACACATACACACATACACAAAAAATGAAAGTAAAATTAAAACGAGAAACAGACGAAATAATAATAATAATGATAAGGGTTGTTAAAATAATAACAATAACAGTAACACTTGCATTGAACCAAAAAGGCCTTTCTGAACTAAATCATTTATAACGTCATTATAAATCTATGAGCAGTTAGTTAAAAAAATACGAAGGTTATTATTTCCCGTTGGATTGAATACTCTTAAAAGTATGCCACCAAATAGAATAGGCATTTTAGTAAGTGATGAGCAAGCTTAATTCAGACTTCATATCCCCCCTCCCCTGTTTCCCATGAACAACAAAAAATACAACAAGCAGAAAACACATAGAAAAGAAAAAAAATCTCCATTTAGACATTTAGAAAGCGAAAGAAGTAAACACCATAGGTTAAACATTCACGCACATACATACACACATGTATACGCATATAACACAATTAAGCACAATACATCTAAACAGAAGTTAATTGGTAAGTACATACATTATACCGGGGGAAAGAGTGTTAGAGTTAGATACTATACAACATTCGTTTTCTTTGGAATCTAAAATACTACGAAGTATTATATAGAGATTGACGAAGTTGTGCACAAACAAGCCAATAAAATCTATCAGAGGTTTCAATATAAATTCTTAACTTATAGTAGTCAGGATAGCTTTTTGTGTTTATTGAAGTGCATGCGCAGCTATTACATCCCGGCTACCTGCACACCATAAATGTGTTGGTTTATTTTTGGAGTAAATGAAACAGAAGGAGCATTGGTATTGCGTGACCACAGAGTCCAAGAGACAACTGTTTGAGACCCGTGACACACAACTCTGTTTGAAGTGGATTTCAGAAGTGCGTTCGTATTAAGATCATACCGCCTGACCACCACTAGGTAACGACGTTTTCTAAAAACCCTCCTCTTCAGAGTGAAAAGACAGCATAACTAGCGTGCTGGTTATCTGAGAGAAACACGTTACTGCTGTTAAATCCCTATTGCCCGGCAGTATAACTTCGCTTTCAGACCTCCAACATAGTGTAAACGATTTAAACTATGATGTTAATTGCGTTTAGTCTAATTGACAAACAAAAGACGTTTCTAGTCAGGGAAGACGTGCAGCAACATTAGTTCCATCCAGTGTAGCTCGTTGGATCATCATTGCAATATGCAAGCCGTATCACCACATCAAAGTAGCAGCTATCGGTCAGCCTTATAGTAGTAACCTATTGTTGTTTGAACTTTGCTCCCCCGGGTAGGTCTTTCATGTACTAGGCAAGAGCAATACTTATCGTGCCAAGGCGGCTGATACTATCCAGTTGCTAGAGCTGAATTAGGTGGAGTGGGACTCGAATCCGTGACCCATTGGTTGGAAGCTGAGTGCTTCACCCCATCTCCACGATGTACAGTAATTCGTGCATTGGCAGATTGCCTGCCGGTGTGTTTACCCTTATATCAACTAAGATTGCTAGTCAAGGGCTCTGTCCTAATTTGTTCGACCACAACCTAGTCTGATGTAGAACGCTCGATTGAGTCTCTGCAATAGATTGCGCTCGATTTGTAGCTTACAGATAGGCCATTTCCAATTATGTTGGAAATAATAATTAATGAAATCAATTTCAACATTTTAATAGGTTAATGGATTTTCTACTGTTAGCTCAGTTCGGCTGTAGTGATCTGTCTCTGTTGACATATGGACTACCATTACAGATACCTTGAGGATGAATTTGATTGGTAGTGACTAACAGGGGAGGGCACATCACGTATCTCGTCGTGTTCGAGACTTGTCAGCCAAAAGTACCCGCATCCCAGTGAGTGAGTCAGTGTGTGGCACAGTGTAGACCTCGCCGACCATGCACATGGTCGAGTCATCCTCTGCCGACGCACACCTGATATCTATGAAAAATGTCCCCACTGAGGAAAGCAGGTAAATATTATTATATGCTTGGGTAGATATCATACATTTTAATTTCAGAGAAAATTAGCCCCTGAGAAGACCTATTACTTGTCTAATAAAAAATATTAACACGTGGAACGTTAAACAGAGCGAATTAAATCTGTTTTCCGGTTCCACTTAAAGCACAAACACACATACACGTTTAGAAAAGAGGAGAAATAAATTACACTAGTGTTAACAGTTACTGATAATATACATAGACATAATAGTAGACAGTGTTAGTCACAAACACACAAACAGCAACAACAAAATAAAAAAACAAACAACACTGACAACAACAGCAAACAAGTGCTGAAACTGTAGTTAACTTTAGCAAAGCACTAATTGCTCTCCTCTTAGGTTAAAGTCATTAGGAGAAAATATATCGTACTTATATTATTAGTTAGTTTGATTAGTTGATTAGTTTGTTGAAAACTTAATTTAGCTAACACATATAACATACATATCTCAATCTGTCGTTTGATACGAGCTTTGCTAGCATCACGAAAATCTGTTTGAGCTTTATTATACTCTTGCATAACATTCATGAATGATCGAACCATTGTATTGTGCTATCCAAAAATGTCAATAGGAAAGTATATTATTATTGTATATGACTGACGTATATACAAGAAGACAGATACGGCAATATGTAAAATAAAAAAAATGGGTGATGCTAGATATATAGAGTACGCTCTTCTTTGATACATCGTAGTATTTTGATGAGGCCACATTCTCTGACCTGCGGAAGCTTTCAGTGTTCTTCGGCACAACATCTCCAATGCAGGCTTTAATCAATCACTCAGCTCCCGGAGAACGCAACCACATCAAAATCCTCCACACCTGAGCTATAAATCTTCTCTTTTTTATTAACATCACAAAATATATTTAGATTAGAAACTACCGAATTTAAGCACGATATGTATACTACTGTGTTTAATGTGATTAGTTGCAAACAAGAAAGGATACTATCAATTATGTATCGACAGTAGCTCTGAGTATATGACATCTGATATAAGCTGGGTTAGTTAAAATCTCTGGATTACTGAAGTCATCCGAATTAGTGCAACATTGGAAATCTCCACACTATTAAATATTGGATTGGTTCAAGGATTTCGTCATGAGCTGACATCAGTTAGAGAACCATTGGAAAACCTGCAGAGACAGCTGTTTCCTCCGTCCTGGTCTGGGACTCTTCATCAGTACGCACCCGCCGTCAGGGTTCGAACCCAGGACCTTCTGGTTACAAAACGAGCTAGCTCATAGACCATTAAGCCATTGGACCGGCCACAGTGGCTTGATGCTTCCTAGATAAGTGAAGGAAGTAACCTCTGTTAAATCTCTCCCGTTGATGGTGATTGGTGCTGGCTTTTGTTGTTGTTGCTGTTCATTGGTTATCTTCATCACCTCCGTCTTCTCTATGTTCACCTGCAGTCCTGTCTCCACTTCCTCTTCAGCCAGTTTGATGGTTTTCGCCCGGTAAGTCTTCGAGTTTGTGTAACATTAAACATATATTGTCTGCAAAATCCAGATCTTCTAAAGTCTTCTCATCTGTGGTCCGGCGTATTCCTGTCCCCTTGCTCCCCACAGTATCTATAAATTATCTTCAGATAAGCAGGAATCATTATTACTACTGGATTTGTTCCTTTTACTTTTTTTATTATAACCATCTTGATAACTTTAACCCTGAAGTATCGGATGTAACAAAGGTTTTAAAACTTCAGTATCTATCTACATCAAATGACAATACAATCTCACTACAAAGTGATAAATTGAAGGAATATCCAAAAAAAAGGCATTACACACATACACCCTTCCTAAAGTCGACAAATAATTGATTAAGTAAATAAATTTTCTATCATTTGCAACAATGGGGGGAAAACTTGTAGCTTAGATGGATGTTTTTGTTGTGAATAGTGTTCTCCACGCTGAATGGTTTAACTGTGAGGCTTTTGTTATCCTTTCACACATCATCTTCAACGCTTGTCTAGAAGGGTAATGAAAGCTTATTTACCTTGACGAATTCCATACGAACACAGAAAAGTTGTTTAAATTATATGCTTGAGATGAAATTGCATAAAGGTTTATTATTATTATTATTATTATCTCAATGACACTGCCTGTATAACTATCGGAACAGAGGACACTAGACGCAATAAGTCGAGTGAAGAGAGGGTCGGGCAGAGGCATTGACTAGACCTTATTTTGTACAGTGAACCAAACCACCAGCTAAAGCCTCAAACAGTACATATTGTCTCCTTACTGCATAGTACTTGAGCATCCAACTTTCACTGACATATAACGCTATTAAAATTAAGTATTTAGTGATTTTCTATGCAGGCATTGTGTCGGTGTGATTCAAACATTTAGATATTCAAGTGTTGGTTTGTAGGGATTTGATTGGTTATAGGATTTTCATCATGAGCTGACATCAGTTAGAGAACCATTGGAAAACCTGGGAGTACTGGACAGCTGTTTCGTCCTAGTTTGGGACTCTTCATCGGTACGCACCCACCGGGATTCGAACCCAGGACCTTCTGGTTACAAGGCGAGCTCGTATACCATTAAGCCACTGGGACCCGATCCAATTGTCCATGAATTCTAACTTCTGCCAATTCACGACATAGCGCGACCCCTAGCCAATGTCTTCGGCGAGTATTTGTCCTCACGCCCGACCTGCTGCACCCTACTGGTCACGACTTCTCACTAGAACCCCAGGCAACTACCTACCTGAATAGGGCAAGTCACTAGTGAGCATCTCATTGATATTCAAGTGTTGGTTTGTAGGGATTTGATTGGTTACAGGATTTTCATCATGAGCTGACATTAGTTAGATATTCAACTATAAGGTAAAAAGAAAATCAACTTCTATCCCCTTCTTATATGACTTTGAACAAAACTGTAAAGCTATTAAGGTACAGTAATTGCAAGAATATGCATAAATATCAATCAATTTGTAGTTACCTGAGTTTTACGAATGCGTAGATCAGCTGATGCATCATCCTTACCTTCTTGTACTTTGACTGTTTGTTCCAGTGCTATGAAAACAATTTTTGGGATACGCGGGGGAGGGGAGGGGGAAAACGAAGGATAAAATAGAGAAAAAACAATTAACAAGGTGAAAGTACCAAAGCTTAGTCAAATGTTGTAAATTAAAACGCTTCCAACATTCTAGAAATATATTGACATATATATGGAGATTTCTTTAACTACGTGATTGCCTAAACGCTGGCAGGTAGAACAAGATTCAAACATCACACCAGCAGTCTCCAGCATTGTGGAGGTATATGGTCATTTGAACTAGTGTATAACATCCTAACACACTTAACCAGCCACGTCTTTTGATTGATGACCGGTAATTCTATGAAACGGTTCAAATCACGTCACGATAGCAGAGTGGCGCTTGAATCAGACATCTACAGGATGAAAATCAAAGCACAGATTCCTGAACAAAAAAAAAGAACTCTGAACAGAACTGTAATACAAGAAAACCAGTTAGTGATTTTAACAGCTATTACACCTCCAAGTTCTTACTGATAAATGTACACCAGTTATACCACATAGACTCGTAAATTGTATAACATCAGAAGTTTGAATAAAAATCTAATAATTCATTAGCGAATAAAAAAATCACAAGTGAGAACCGATAATCAGTGCTAGAATTAAGATTGGAATTTGAGCACTACGATAGATTATAAGTTCATATTAGATAAGGTTATTTGATACAACACAAGGTGATATAAGGTGATGAACACAGTTTATTTTTCATAATTATATCAGTGTATTTCAACGATTTCTCAACTTGCTTTGCACAGTTTTTCTTAATTCATCCTGTATTTTAATGTAATTTCTCATATATTCGAGATAGGTGTTGCGTTATTTTGATTACAAGTATTAGGTGTAGTATTCAATGAATCAGGATGCGGTGATTAACGTCTCTCTTTCTTCATCTAACCATATTACCGGAAAAAGCTCGACCATTCTTCGCAGCTGAACTCCGACTAACCTTTTCCACGAAACCAATGATTCGCATGATAGTTAAGGATAAGCCACCACTGTTGGCTACCTCACCAATGTGCCTCTACCATTTCACCTGATCGTGTGGAGCTAGATATGTCGGCCGTAACCAGCATTTGATATCCAAACGTATCACCGAACACTTACCTACAGTCATCGTTTTATAAAAGAGGAAAAGATCACCCTACCACAGATCTATCCTGAAGCATCTGATCGAATCGGAGCACCAAGCTAACCCACAAAGGAACTTCAAAGATGTCTACAGAATAATACGTGGGAGTCTGGCTAAAAGAGTACAAATCAAACTTCTTCAAACCACGGAAGCAATGGCAATCCACATGTTAAATCCTGAACTCTGCATACAGAAGAAGTTTGTTCAGTCATTAAATCTACAATGAACCTGACCTAGTCTTAACATCAAATACGTAACTTTTGTTTCGTCTTTTTTTGCTTGTTTGTTTATTAATTGTATAATATTTTTCCCCTACCCCCTATTAAATCTCTACCCACCCACCCCGATTACCACTATTGTTAACTTGACTTTTGTTCAATTTTAATTTTAGTTGAGCTCTACTCAACCACATCAGTTAAATTACGTCACTCAACCCACTTATTTAATTTTATTCTGGTTTCAACCCGGTTAACGCCCTGTACACTACGTAATTTGTTGTTATCGAAAATTTACAATTCTAATGACGCATGTTTGGAAATATTCCTCTTGTTGCTGAGAAAATTTACTTCAATGTATGCGATTGTACAGCTTGAGAGTGATATCGCCGAAAAGAGGAACTCTTCGCTGAAGGCCTTTTCTTTTACATGACTCAATGGGAATTTTTAGGTTGCAATTCAATCGCTTGCATGCAATTATACAATAGGGTAAAAATATTAAGAAGCAACATAATTAGGTCGATACTGTAGTAGTGAATCACCGAATGCTTGTTCAATATGGAAAAAACCATGTAGAGATTTAGAAAGCAAAAGGACTGAGCAAAGAAATATTCACTTCTCAATTAGCTCCTCATCTCTGGCTATACTCTAATATATATATATATATATATATATATATATATACCAGTGTGACTGCAACTGAGGAGCCAGCTACATTGGGTGTACAGTTACACGGGTTTATCATCGTATTTCCGAACATCATCCAGCATGGTTAAGCAAGGGATAAACAAGATCTATTCGTAGCTCTGTTTTAGCACACCTTGTAAACAGTGAGTATAAAGCTAATGTTAATACAGCATTTGAAATTATTTGTCGCATTCCTACTAATCTCAATTTCGCTTTACGACTTCATCTTCTAAATACAGCTGAAGCTATCGGAATTCACCTGAAGAAGCCACACCTGTGTGTTCAGAAGAAAGTCGTACAGTCATTTCTCTTATCTTGCCCATTGTTACATGAATGCAAAAGCCTAACTACTTCACCCTCCTACTAAGCCTTTTAAAATTGTAATTGTCCAAATTATTTTATTCTTATAACTCCTTCACTTTTAATTGCCTACTACATAGTCGACTCGAAGACTTTATCACTGTGTATTTTTCCAAAATTATGCATTAAGCAATCTATGTGTTGCAACCATTTCTACCCTTTAATTGATTTGTATTATTTTCTTGGTTAGTTATCGCACAAACACACACACACACCCCATTGACATGTTAATACTGACTAATTATTGTTAACAAACTTATCGCCATTAGATTGGTAAAACTGTTTTGTATTGTATTAAAAATGCTATATATATGTTAGAGTAGAGTCAGAGATGAGGATCTAAATGAAAAGTACATCTTTTTTTCGCTCAATCCTTTTGCCTTCTGAGTGTTTGTTCATCGAATCAACACCAAACACAGGAAGTAGAAATATGATGGAACAATTTGTCGCAGATATATGGAATCTTGCACTAAAATATAGAAGGGAATAAAGCTAATATAAAGCAAGCTAGGAAGTCGTGTGAACACACTGACATGATTAACAACAGTGAGTTGTGCTCGAAACGTCATCCAGTTATTAACACTGTATCACCACTCCATGTTAATATCAATTAAGCTTACGTAAGATAGAAAAATGCACGGTGTTTCCAACTTATCTTAAAATTAACTGACTAATTAAATCAAAAATATTTCACTTTCAATGAACAAAGACTAAAATTTTGAATTTGATTTCGAGGATAACTGTTTAACTTTGGCGAAGAATACTTCAATTTTCAATAATTATTCAGTCAATGCCCCAAATGATGAATTAATTGATAATGGGGAAGTGAGTTAGTTAGTGGTTGCAAATTAAAAGTCAAATGTGTATTAACAAGAGAAAACTTTGAAGTAGTCTAAAATGGCAGTTTATCCTTCACATATTCGCTGACTGTAGAAATTGATCCACAGCTCCACTGAAAATGAGTTTCTCAACAGTTTGGATATGCAAATCGTGAAAATCTCGGGCATGTTAACACCTCAAAATTCGACATTCATTAGCGACATCTTCTTCAGTGCCATGAGGCTTCTTTCAGACTGATATTTTACTTTCATTGATTGCTTTTGTCGATGAGTCTTGTGGGGTACTCAGTTTGAATGAGGACTTGTCTGAGTCTCTTCAATTCATCGTTGACTATACAACTGGCAGAGATTTTTTTTATCCTTGAAGATACAGAGTAGATCAGCCAACGATGAAAGTTCGTGCATTGATTATTCTATATTGACTTCCTGTGTGTGTGTGCAGGAAAAACTGCCATTTTAAGCCACTTCAATGTGTGTTTATAAATTCCCTATCTGCTGTGCAGCTAGTTATATTGGCTACACAAAATGCACACTTTCCAAACACATTTGAAAATATTATCCGGTATGGTCACCAAGAGGACAATGCAAGTCAATTACTAGCTCAATTCTCGAACACCTAGCGTAATATTTATCTTTTTTTCTGCTTTTTCTATTCACATACTACTGATAACATAAGTATCGATCATTAAAAAGCAAACACCTACACTAATCAGTCATTTGATGTAAGTATGTACATTGTGTATACAGGTGAGTGACCTTATGATTCATTTTGTTCAATACAGACAGTTACATTTAATAATGCTGTAACTATTTTTTTTCGATTTCTAATTTGTATTTTTTTTTAATACGTAAAATAGTATTCTATCTGTCTAAAGGCTTATTATACTCCACTCAGCATGTATCAGGTTTTCATATTCTGTCGTATACAATCAATGATAATTTAGACACTGAGAGAGACAGAGTGTGTGTGTGTGTGTGAGAAAAACCAAATACTGTAACGATTGTAAAATAAGTAAGAATTAAACATTTACAAAAATGCTAGAAACTTGTCCATGTATGAATGTTACTTAACAACAGTGAGTAGGTGTAATCTAAGACTGACAAAGTTTCAACAGAGGAATTTGTGCACATAAGTGCAGCACAGTTCGAGTTGCCACACTTCATGTAGTACACAAAAAGGTAAGCAAAAGATTCATAAACAACACTACAGTAAGCAGAAAGAATAGTAACACAGAAAAACATTACGGTTCAATAGATATGGGAGAGTACAGAGAATGAATACATATGCACTATTGAGAACGATTTTGAGCTATATCTCTAATGGTCTCCACTATTGGTTCTTAGCATTCCAACGATCCCAACCAGGCAGCCTACACAACCTCCCTACGTGGTTCAAACTAACTGCAAAGATTTCATGGACTACTCCAACCCTAATCACATGTCAGCCAACATCGCGCGTCGAGGAAGGCGATGGCTCGACATGAGCAACACGTGTCCTAGCCATCACAAGAGATGTACTTTCACAACTGAATTGGTTGACTTTTCCACCTCACACAAGAATTCGTCTAATCTCTATATTATTCACCATATTATTATACCACTTGACACGAGAGACAAAACGTAAACATCTGCGGTCAAAGACAGCTAGCCTTTTCATATCTCCTACTTTCAACGGACACATCTCAGAAATAAAAGAAGACGGAACGAACTGCTACGCAGAACACACGTCCTTTGATCGATAGCCGGAT